AGTAAAGGTGAGTTGGGTAGTGCGCTTTAGTTTGGGGTTACTTAGTTTCTTATTCTTTAGTATTTTTAAATTAATAGTGACGTGTAGTTTTCATACTTGGTTCAGGACACTAGTTGGACTTTTATACTCTATTCGAGGATTACATTATTCTGTTTTCAAGTGAGTAGTTGCATGCTACATATTTTTATAAATATTCCCCTACTGAACTATTGGAAAATTAAATTGTTGTTTCAAGACTAGACTGTTTTAAAAAATTATTATATTATCAATGGAATTAAATTATTTCTGAAACATGTGTAAACTTGACATACTGTAAACTATTTGTTATGGTCTCATGTTTCAAATGGTGAACTACTCTGTTTTGCGAAACTGAATTGTATTGATTATTGGGACCATCTGTATATAAAAGTCTAGGGAAATTATTCCACTGTGTGTGGTGACTCTGGCCACTAGGGAACAGATGCAGGTTGGGCCGTGACGACTCTAGTGCTCAATGATTGTAAGGAAAATACCTAGGCTAGGCTAGGTGACCTTTAATCGGATCATCTTAGAGAAAAGGCCCAGGTTGCCATCCCGAGGATGACTCTTGGTTCGATATTGGATCCAACGGGCTTATTGCCTTGAGAACTATGTGGCATGTTACTTGTTATTCTTGGTACCCAGAAAATTATTGATGATCATGTTGTAATCTGTTTTAAGTGGAGAATGTCATTTGTAATGGTCTTGAGAGACATGAGTATTTTAACTGTTGAACTGTGAAACCTTCTTTTTTAAACAGATTATCTTTATCAAAACAATTTGCCAATCTAGTTTCTGTGGTATATATTTTATTTTGGAATTGAACCCTGTTTTCAAAATTGTATTTACTATCCTTGTTGCTACTCATTGTGCTATCAGTTGACTTAGTTTTTTTTTTTTTATCACTTCCAGGTGTTAGAAGGACTTAGAGTGGACTCATGGCGTAGCGGGGACTCAATTGCATGGACCTGTAGGACATTCATTATTTTGTTTTAGCTTGTTATGTCAGTTTTGTGCATACATTGTGATTGGATTTTACTTAGAATTATTTTATTTTGGGGGTAGTTTGTATTCCATTTAGTATATCTTTTTGGAAGTTGGTTACGGCTGGTTTTACCATTTATACTTGTGACTTGTCACTGGTTAGGGTTTTGACTTATTTATTTCTGGGCTATCATCACATTTATTCTTTGTGATTTTAGGTTCAAGTTTAGGCTTACGTGTGCCTTGGGCTAAGTCCCTGTAGGCCACGGCCTGTCGTGCCTGGAGTTGGGGTGTGACAAAAATGCTTTGTGTTTTGCTCATTTGGTGCTCCAACTGCATCCAACCTAATTGGCATTAACACATACATAAAATATACAATCTGACTGGCAAGTAAGGTTAAGGGATCCTAATTATTGGCCTCAGTGTTATACAATTCAGCCTCAATCAAAGATAACACATCTCAAGTAATAGAGGTTATATTGTGCCAAAGCTAACCACCCAAATACATTAACTTTCAATGGAGCAATGCTACTCCACAACCTTGTAACCACTTGAAAAGGACTTCCAGTGGAAATGAAAAATAAATTGTACAAGGATTTAACATAAAAAATTGACAAAGTGCTCAACGCTCGAGTAATGAAGTATTGATTCGAGTAGTGAATACCATTGTGAATAAGCCTCATTGCACTAGCCTAGCTAGGAGTATGAGCAAGAATGCTATAAATATGGGTTTAAGAATGGCTGGCATGGAGGTTGAAAAATTTAAATGGAAATTGGCTTGTTGTATTTGCATTTAATGTTTTTAAATTGTCATGTTTAGCTATATATAGCTTATGTATCAGAGGACTTTGATCCTCATTCCATTCCATGTATGTAATGGAGGATTTTCGTGACATATCCAATGACTATGAAATGAGAATGCAAATTTATAATTATTTTAAATTTAAAAGATTATTATACTTACAATTGGATGATGTAATAGAATCTCTCTATTACAAATATGCAATGGAGAGGATCATTGTGATGTCCCATGTCTCGGACTTAACTTGAACTTGTATATTCGGACTCATCACTTTACTGTCGGTGCCTAGAGTTATGACATGTTGATGTTTGTGAATTTAACCTTATTTAACCTTCTTGACTGTTTCTTGAGTTAGAAATTTTGAGTTTCACGGATAAGGACAAAACGAAGAAGTGTTGAAATGCCTTGGGGAAAATTTTGGACCATCAAGCATTCCCGCATGTATAGAAGGAGGAGCTCACATGTGCGGTTTTGTGCAAAGAGGAAATTGGGATTCTGGGATTCCCATGCAACAACAACAACGACAACTACAATTTAAGAATCCATCTTTATGGAAGATGAGGAGGTAATTGATGATGATCTTGAGTTGCCGAGTTTTCATAATCAAAGATTGAGTAAAGATCACGCATCAAAAAATTATGAAGATAAAAAAAATGTATTTATGAATTTGGATTCATTTCTTCTGACTCACAAGTTAATTGAGATTTTCCTCCCTCATATGATGAGTATCTTGAAGAAGCCACAAAAGAAATTTTAAGGGAGACGTATGAGATTTTATCGACTATTTTGAAGAAGGAATTGAAATTGATCTAGAAATTACTATGATTCAAAAAGATATTTAAAGAGGAAGAATTCGATGAGATACTATCGGATATAAATACTTCGTTTTTGGAATCACAACTAATTGATTATAATTTACCTTCGAAATTTGATGAATATTTAATGGATGAGGGGCTTGAAATTCATAAAGTCATGGATAAATTTAGACATTGTGAATCTACTCTAAATTATGGTCCCTGTGTCTGATATTTTTCATATTAGTGATGCAACTGAATTGAAGGGAAAAAAAAAGAGAAAAACCTCAAGTGGAGGAATTAGAAAAAGGCAATGATGGGGTCATAGTGTTCATATACAGCAAAGAGGACTAGAATTCATTTCAGGATAGATTTGATCAAAAATAAAACATGTTGAAGTAGAGTTAAGAACGGGCTTATCCTAACAAAACTACATTCCGTGGAGTTTTCATTATAGCCTATTTAAGGATCAATTGTTCGAAGATGCGAAGTGAAATTTCATTGGTCAGAATTGTGCTACAAAAAAAATGGGTTAAATTTAAGAAAAATGCTAGAAATACTAACAATCTTACTAAAAATCTTACTAACACACTCACAAATTGATGTGGGTCCCATACTAAGTGATGGTTGATCTTATCAAGACTTGTGAGTGTGTTAGTAAGATTGTAAGTATCCCTAGCATTACTGTAAATTTAATTAAGAAAATTGTTCATTTAATTATGAAAGATTCTCACTAAAAATTCAGGTTTGAAAAAGTTAATCTCAAATATAAAGCAGGTGCAGACAAGTACAAACATGATAAATTAATTCAAGTAATGAAAGCTCAAGGACAAGTTTTCTCAAGCAACAAAAAATGATGAAAATCAAATTTTAAAAAATAAATATTTTATTTTATTATTTTTTTTCTAAAATTAACATTTTATTAGGAATATTCTAATTTAGTATAGAATATTATAGAATTATCTAGTTATGTAGTTATCTAATTTGACATGATACAATTTTCCTATTTTATTAGTTTTTACTTTATTTTCCGTTTTATTAGTTTCTTATTTTTTAGAAATTAGGTTTATTATAAATAATGGTTGCAAACCTTAGGGAAAAAGAATTTTTTGAGAATTATATATTTCAAGTTTTATACTATTTTGTTCCAACTTTGGGTATTCTTTTGTGAATGAACCACTGTTAAGTCTTTATGCTCGATATTCTTCATGAATCAACAAGTTTAGAAAAGAATCTTGGTTTCGGAATTCTTACTTTAATCAACGAATTAAAGGATTTAGTAATCATCCATTATATTTGTCACACCTTGACAAGATCTGACCCACGAGAATAAATCATAAACAATAACAGAAAAAGACAATAATGAACATAATCAAAGAGATTCTCTCACATGTATGTATATATATCAATGTCATTCCTTACATGAGATTGTCCAATTACAAACATCCTATATTCAATATCTAAATGTAGTGAATATATAGTATGCAATTCAAAAGTAACAACATTATATGTAAATAAAATGCTCTAAGGTTCACATCAAATCAAAGAGTACAACCCTTAAAAATGGCACTCAACCAATAAAATAAATGGCCCATGACATACGGGTCAAAAGAGCTTTCTCTCAGTTCATGCACATGTCTTATACCTCGCCTCAATGTCAAGGCACACTATCAATACCTTAAAACGATTTTAGCTATGTAGGGTGAACATATATTCCAGTAGGGTAATCTTTCAAAAGATAATACGTTTCTATACATGTATATGGTCATGATGCTACATATGCATTATATGCTCAAAAACATTTTCTCATTTCACAAAAGGTTTATATCAAACTCAATGACTAAAATCAAGCATTCTCATTACACTACAAGAATTTGCACCTTTGGCAACCACTTTTGGCGACTAAAAAAAATTTAGTCCCCAAAAATGTCACTTTGGGCGACTAAAATGCGTATTAGTCGGTGTTGGTATAGGATGTAGCTACTAAAAATTTTTAGTCGGAAAATATTATTTATTGGCGACCAAATTATCTTTTTTGTTGGCAAAAATGTCACTTTTAGAGACTAAAATATTTATTAGTCGCCGTTAGTCTGCATTTTAGGCTACTAATTTTTTTTTAGTCGTTGTATATTATTTTTTTCCTACAAAATAAATGTTAGTAGCCCAAAATCATGTATATTTTTATGGTTACTCTTTAGCGACTAAAAAATTTAGTGGGCGAATATTATTTTTTCCTGACCAAATGGAGATTTAGTCGCCAAATACTTTTGGCGACCAATAAAATAGTAGTTGTTGATTTACCTGTGGCTACCAAATAGGATAGTCGCCAATAAGCACCCTTTTGCTGACAAAAATTGAGTTTAGTAGCTAAAGCTTGAAATTTTTTAGGGCGTGAACTCTCTTATTGATGCCTGCCCCTTTCTTTGTTACACAACAACATTCAAACCTCTCAGACAAAGACAATCAGACACCAAACCTCAGAGAGAAACATCTCACCGCAGCACACTGTACGAAGGACACAACCACGGTCACCACCGCAAAGCACCACTGGCACAGCCGCAGATCACAGGTTCCCTCTCTCTCTCTCTCTCTCGCGCGCGCGCGCGTGCGCGCACGCGTGCTTGCTCTCTCGCTCTTGATGTGTCTGTCTAGTTGTCTTTCTCATTCACAGTTTCTCTCTGCATCTCTCTCTCTCTCTCTCTCTCTCTCTCTCTTCCTTTATTTCCCTTTTTTCTGATTGTGGCTTTAGGGTTTTATATGCTTGAATCAGTTGAATTTGGTGTTCATTTCTGAAATGGGTTTGGGTGTTGTGGATTGATTTCTAAACTAGTATGGGTTTGATGTCCGAAATACGGTTTGATTTTACTAGTTTCATATATTTCCCCCTCTTTTTCCTTTCTCTTTTATTTGTTTGAGTATGAATTTGTTGCTGATATTTGCACTTTCAAATTGTATTTGTAATTCTATTTTGAAAGTGCTCCATGTTTAATGTATTTGGATAGAATGGATGCATTTGTCCAATTTATAAAATTAGAATCACAATTGGGGGTAAATTACAAATACACCTTTGCAAATATTTTGTAGTTTTGTGTTGTGCAATTTTTTGTACCATTCGTTGATAAATAATAATTTCTAGTAGGTGAAAGGATATTTGGGTTGACTGACCTATGGAGTTGAATACTTATCAGAACTTTCTAAAGCAGGGATAGTTGATTTGGCTTACAGCTTCCTCATAATATTGTAAATCAGTTACTATTTGGACCATCTTTTCACTTTGTTTATATTCTAGTCATGATCATTTTTAGATCTTTGATTTTTTTTATTTGTTTTTATTTTTATAAATTTAGGGAACTCCTGGAGTAACAAGATCAGTGCTTTGGGACAGTGGAGTTGTATTGGGGAAGTTCTTAGAGCATGCTGTAGAATCAGGGACAGTGCTTCTTCAAGGCAAGAAGGTTGTTGAATTGAGATCTGGCTGTGGATGAGTTGGGTAATAATAACAACAACTATTTTTAAGTTCCATCTTTGTCATTATATATCGTACCATATGAACAAACTGAGTCTATGAATGTCTATGAATGTGATTAGTAAGTGCGTAGCATGAGGAGTGGAATTTTCACTCAAATTTTTCTATATTTATTTACTAATTTTATATGAAAGTCATTATCTTAAATTATGATTTTCTTCCGTTGTGTTTCCAACTGCATTGCTACCCTTTTGGGTGCTGAAGTTATTCTTACTGATTTGGCAGATAGATTAAGGATGCTGAGGAAGAACGTTGGAACTAATCTGTATGGAAATGTTCGTGGTTCTACGACAGTGAATCAACTCATTTGGGGAGAGGAGCCTGTTGTAGAATTGATTCGACCATTAGCTGATTATGGTACAAAGATCTTATATCTTCTCTTCCACATAACAAAGGTTTTAAAAATTGGTTGTTTCTATAACCAAGTAGGTATAATGCGCGCTACAACTCTGTTGAGTGCCTGTTACGGTGCTGTTACAACTGTTATGGCTATTGTAATCAATTTTCCTAAGAACTAATACCAGCTCTTGGTTGTTGGATTTTGCACCTTGACTTTCCACATGGTGTGTCTTGACCTGCGAATTTAGTCCCATGCTCCATATGCATTGTCATCAAATTACCTAGTATTTGTTTAATGCTTCTGGACCAAGTAGTGATCTTGTATGAGTTGTTTTGGTGCCCATTTAAAGTTTCTAACTTTTAGAGTTTCTATTTTTTTTTTCCCTTCTTAATTTTATATAGACTCTTATTGTGTTTTTCTCTTATTTTGGATGAAAAAAGTGCTGGGGGTCGGATGTAATTTATAGTGAGGATGCAGTGATGGATTTATTGGCCACATTACTAGAACTTTGTGGCACCCAAACAACAATTATTTTAGCTGGAGAACTTTGAAATGGTACAAAATTTTAAGTTTGCTTTGTTCTGCCAAAACCACGAGTGTTTTGCATTTATTTAAATTTCATGGCACAAAGTTCTCAAAGGGAAAATTACAGGGGAATTAAAGAGAATTTTGCCAAAAAGAGTAGGTTGGGGGTGGAATAGGTTAAAAGGACATAATGAATTTGAAAATGATAAAAGTAGGCAGAAAAGATAGATGGTTGAAAATAGGACAATCTTGCTTTACATCTGCACGTACTTAGGTTTATTTGCCCCATCTCACTCAAGGGAAAAGGGAATCACATTATGATCTTGCGACTAACGTAGATTGACTAACTTACTCTGCCGTTTGCTTGGTATCAACATGAGAGTTTGATAGTTAACATGTTTTATCATTCTGTATGAGAGTAAGGAAATAGGGATTACTCTACGAATTGCAGCTCAACTGTTACAATACCTTTGGTGTAGGGACTTTTGTATGCTACAAGTTGTCTCTTTGGAGATGTACTGGGCTCTGTTGGGTGTGGTTCTGGCATGTAATAATCTTGTTAGCTCTTCTTTGTTGCTGTGTTCCATATGTAGGCATATGGGAATATGAATAGTTTATATTCCTTCGAAGAACCTTTGAGTAGTTCTTTTCATGATGTTTTACAAACAATAAAATGGAGTTGAATTGGATTGATGCAAGTTGTTCCTTTAATCACATATATCATTTAATTCATGGATCTTAGTACTACGTGGAGTGTGCTTTGAATTGATTTTTGATAAATGATTTATGTATGCGCCTCTTGTGCAATGTCATTGAACTCAGTGAGCACATCCTTTGAATTAATTTTTGTGATGTATTACAAATATGTGGTTCTTTTTATTTTGCCTTACATGGATTTTTTGTTCTAGGTTGGATTTTTCATTTGAAGTTTAGGATCTCTCTTCTATGGCCCTAGGTCCAGATCACAATTTCTTGCCAGAAAAGCGAGGAAAATTTAGTCTCATCTGTGGTTTTATAAGAGGAGTTTTTGCAACTGACATATAGTTTTGAGTTTGTTTTCTTTGAGTTGACAAAGGCGATAATTTATGGCATAGATTCTAAGTTTTTTTTTTTTTTTTTTGTCATGTAGAGTTTGGTGATGTTCTAAAGATAATAGATGTCTTGAAGCTAAACAAATAAAATAGAAGTTTTTCTACAAAACCACATTTTAGTACTTGTGTTTTGGAATCAAAAACTTTCTCTCAAGAACACTAATTTTTTATTTTTTGTTTTGAGTAGCCAAGAACACTAAATTTGGAAACTTGGATTTTTTTTCTTATTAGGTTTCTTTTACAAGACAAAACATCAAATAATGTTAGGTGTGTGCCCAATCTTTCCCCTCCCAAACACATTAATGTGAATAGGTTATTTTGTTTGTTCCCTCTTTGTTTGTTTTAGTTTGTTCCATCACCTTTTATTAAGTAAGTATCTTTAATTTCTTTCAAATTTAGGGAAAAAATGTAAAATAGCCACCACATTGTCCAAAGACCATCATGGGCACCTCAGCGTAGATTAAAAAAAACTTGTAAGAGCAAGTGGCGCGTCGATAAAACGTACAATTAGAGAATTAGAGACAAAAATGTGAGAAAAAAAAAAGGCAAAAACAAGCCTTTGGGTTGGCAAAAATGAAAACCATCTGCCAATCTACTTGAAGACCATCACGAACATCTCACTCTAGATTAAATAAACTTGTAAAAGCAAGTGGTGCATTGATAGGATGCACAGTTAAAGAATTAGAGAAAAAAAGTGAGAAAAAAGGCAAAAAGGAGCCCCCGAGGGGCATAAATGCAAAACAACTACCAATCTGCCCAAAACCATCACCGACACCTTGCCCTACATTAAACAAACATGTGAGGACAAGAGGCGCACCAATAGAACTTAAAGTTAAAGAATTGTAGACAAAAATGTGAGAAAAAAAAAACGCAAAAAAGAGCCATTAGGGGGCAAAAAAGCAAAACAACCCCTGAACCACTGTACAGATGTTACAGGTAGCTTTCTCATGACAAGTAGGACCAATGGGGATACACTGGACGCAATTAGCACATGTAGGTTCGGAGTTAAAGTCGAAAATGCCTTAAATTTAGTCGAAAAAGGGTGTTCGGGGGGCGAAAATGCAAAATAGCCCCCGAACCACTGTATGGATGTCATGACAAGCTTCCCCATAACAAATAGAGCTTGTGACAATAGATGAAATGCAATTTGCACGTGTAGGTTGGGAGTTAGAGCCCAAAATGCCTTCAAATTAACCAAAAAAGGGCATTAAGGGGCGAAAATGCGAAACAGCCCCCAAACCACCATACAGATGTCAAGGATACCGTCCCTGTGATAAATAAAACCTGTGACAGGAGACAGAATGTAATTAGCATGTGTAGGTTGGGAGTTAGAGCCCAAAACACATTAAACTTAACGGAAAAAGGGCGTTGAGGGGGGCGAAAATACAAAACAGCCCCCGAACCACCGTTTGATGTCACGACATGCTTCCCCGTGACAAATAGGACTTGTGACAGTAGACGGAATGCAATTCGCATGTGTAGTTTGGAAGTTAGAGCCAAAAAATGCCTTAAATTTAACCGAAAAAGGGTGTTAAGGGCCAAAAATGAGAAACATCCCCTGAACCACCATATGTATGTCACGGCCAACTTCCCCGTGAAAAATAAGACCTATGACAATAGACGGAATGTAATTCGCATGTGTAGTTTGGAAGTTAGAGCCGAAAACACCTTAAAGTTAACCCAAAAAGGGCGTTAAAGGGGAAAAAATACGAAATAGTCCCCGAACTACCATATGGATGTCACGGCTAGCTTCCCTGTGACAAATAGGATCTGTGACACTAGAAAGAATGTAATTCGCACGTGTAGTTTGGAGGTTAGAGCCGAAAATGTCTTAAACTTAACCAAAAAAGGGCTTCAAGGGACAAAAATGTGAAATTGCCACCAAACCACCATATGGATGTCACGGCCAGCTTCTTCATGATAAATAAGACTAGTGGTAGAAGACGAAATGTAATTTGCACGTGTAGGTTGGGAGTTAGAGCCGAAAACGAAATAAACTTAACCAAAAAAGGGTATTAAGGGAGCGAACATGCAAAATAGCCCTCGAACAACTGTATGGATGTCACAGCCACCTTTTTCATGACAAATAGGACCTATGACAATATATGAAATGTAATTAGCATGTGTAGGTTGGGAGTTAGATTCGAAAGCGCCTTAAACTTAATCGAAAAAGGACGTTAAGGGGGTGAAAATGCGAAACTGCCCCCGAACCACCGTACGGATGTGAAGGCCACCTTCTCCGTGACAAATAGAAACTATGTCAATAGATGCAATGTCATTAGCACACGTAGCTTGGGAGTTAGCACTGAGAACTCATTAAACTTAAACGAAAAAGGGTGTTAAGGGGACAAAAATGTGAAACAACCCCTGAACCACCATATGGATGTCACGACCACCTTCTCCATGACAAATAGGACCTGTGACAGCAGACAAAATGTAATTTGCACGTGCAGGTTGGGAGTTAGAGCCGAAAATGCCTTAAACTTAACTGAAAAATGGCGTTAAGGGGTGAAAAAGCGCAACAAACCCCGAACCACCGTAGGGATGTCAAGGCTACCTTCCCAGTGATAAATAGGACCTGTGACAATAGACGAAATGTAATTCGCACGAGTAGGTTGAGAGTTAGAGCCGAAAACACCTTAAACTTTACTAAAAAAGGGTGTTAAGAGGGTGAAAATGCGAAATAATCCCCGAACCACTATATGGATGTCACGGCCACCTTCCCCATGACAAGTAGGACCTGTGACAATAGACAGAATGTAATTTGCACGTGTAGGTTGGGAGTTGGAGCCGAAAATGCCTTAAACTTAACTGAATAAGGGCGTTAAGGGGGCGAAAATGCGAAACAGCCCCCGAACCACTGTATAGATGTCACGGCCACCTTTCCCATGACAAATAGGACCTGTGACACAAGATAGAATGTAATTAGCATGTGTAGGTTGGGAGTTAGAGCTGAAAACACGTTAAACTTAATTGAAAAAGGGCGTTAAGGGGGCGACAATACGAAACAGCCCCCGAACCATCATACGGATGTCAAGGCCACCTTTCTCGTGACAAATAGAACCTGTGACGATAGACAAAATGTAATTAGCACGTGTAGGTTGGGAGTTAGAGCCCAAAAAACATTAAACTTAACCGAAAAATGACGTTGAGGAAGCGAAAATACGAAACAGCCCCCAAACCACTGTACGGATGTCAAGGCCAGCTTTGCAATAGGACCTGTGACAATAGATGGAATGTAATTAGCATGTGTAGGTTGGGAGTTAAAGCCAAAAATGCCTTGAACTTAATCGAATAAGGGTGTTAAGGGGACAAAAATACGAAATAGCCCCCGAACAATCGTACGAATGTCAAGGCCACCTTTCTTAGGACAAACAGGACCTGTGACAATAGACGGTATGTAATTAGCAAGTGTAGGTTGGGAGTTAGAGCCCAAAACAGATTAAACTTAATCAAAAATAAGGCGTTAAGGGGGCGAAATTGCGAAACTGCCCCCAAACCACCATATGGATGTCACGGCCACCTTCCCCGTGACAAATAAGATCTGTGAAAATAGATGGAATGTAATTAGCACATGTAGGTTGGGAGTTAGAGTCAAAAATGCGTTAAACTTAACCGAACAAGGCGTTAAGAGGGTGAATATGCGAAATAGCCCCTGAACCACCGTATAGATGTCAAGGCCACACTCTTCATGAAAAATAACACCTGTGACAATAGAC